GACCCAGACCCATGCAGGTAACTATTCCCTTGCAGCAGCAGTTCCTGAGATACACATTTCTCAGAAGCTTCGCTCACACTGAGTATTCACATGGAAAAGTGTGTTTCATATGCAACAAGGGGTATGCTAACTAGCTTTACTTTGTAATACTTCATGACCAAAAAGTGTGTAAACGATGGAGGCATTTGTGAAACGCAGAGAAAACGCTCCCAAATCTGTTCAATGGTGAAAATACCTCCTTTACTCACAGGAAGGAACAGTGCTATAAGCTTCCTACATGTAGTGACCAATGCTGTATCCACCCTAGGAGGATGGGTACTGCTGTCCCCACTCTCTGAGTGAGGATATTCCCATTTGGAATGGATTGATTGTCTCTCCCAAGTTCCAACATTGTACATGTGTTAGATCTGATGTTCAAAACCTGGTATTCTGATTCAAAAATTTGGGACTTAAAATCATTTGGAAAAGTCTTTTTTTTATTTCATCTTTAAAAATCCCCTTCTATTGTCCTATATTGAGTACTACAGTGTGTATTTTCTGTTCTAAATTGCAGGTTTATTCCCTTTGCACATTTTTCTAGAGGGATATTCAATCAGTAAAATGTCTGACATCATAAAAAGCCCACTCTATTCTTCTTTGGATACACTGTTCTTTTTCTGCTTTGTTAATTATTCTGGGCAGCATGGGCATGTGGCAGGGGCTGGAAGGCTGCCAGAACCGGGGAAGCTTTCTGCTCATCACAGTCTCTCAGGAATCCCCTGAGTTTATTAGATCTCCTTTACCACTCGTGTCCATTTCTTTCCTGCGTTTTATGAACCTCCTTTTTGTTTTTTAAAGATTGTATTTATTTATTGGACAGAGAGAGACACAGTGAGAGAGGGAACACAAGCAGGGGTATGGGAGAGGGAGAAGCAGGCTTCCCGCCGAGCAGGGAGCCCGATGCGGGGCTCGAACCAAGGACCCTGGGCTCCTGACCTGAGTCAAAGGCAGACGCTTGACGACTGAACCACCCAGGCACCCCAATAACTGACATTTAAAGAAAAACTTTTAAAAAAGAAAAAAGTATTAAATAAATAAATGAAGCCCATATAATTCAACACTTTTATGCTTTTTTTTTTTTCTTTCCTTGTAGGCAGCACCACCACATGGAAGCAGACAATGACACAGGAATTTCAGTTTATTCTTTTGGGATTATCAGAGGAACCAGAATTACAGCCCATCATATTTGGGCTTTTCCTCTGCCTGTACCTAATCACTGTGCTGGGGAACCTGCTCATCATCCTGGCCGTCAGCTCAGACTCCCATCTCCACACCCCCATGTACTTTTTCCTCGCCACCCTGTCCTTTGCAGACATCTGCTTCACCTCCACCACCATCCCCAAGATGCTGTGGAACATCCAGACTCAGAGCCAAGTCATCACCTATGCTGGCTGCCTCACACAGATGTACTTTTTCATACTCTTTGGTGGTTGGGACGACTTTCTCCTGACTGTGATGGCCTATGACCGCTTCGTGGCCATCTGTCACCCCCTGCACTACATGGTCACCATGAACCCTCGGCTCTGTGGACTGCTGGTTCTGGTGTCCTGGGTCATCAGTGTTCTCAATTCCTTGTTACAGAGTTTAACGTTGTTGCGGCTGTCCTTCCGTGCAAATGTGGAAATCCCCCATTTTTTCTGTGAATTCAATCAAGTAGTTGGGCAGGCCTGTTCCGACACCTTCCTTAATGAT